TTGCAAATCATTTATAGAGATAACAGGTTCAGAGCTAGGTTACGTAGTCGGTTATGAATTCTAAACCTGCAGGTTATGTAGTATAAACCTACAGGTTATGTAGGTTTAGAGATTCTGTGAGATGATAAAATTTTCATAGTTATCTGAGCTTTACTTTCAAACGAAACAATGCATTTGGCATTCCAAATGCATTTGGCAACAAACAGTTGGCGAGTAACTTTAAAAAGCCTCTCTTTTGACAGCAAATTAAAAGGCCAAAAGAGCGAACGTTATGTAACCAACACTTTAAATGAGCATCAAGGATTAATAGATTTCACCAAATGAAAGTATGCGAATAAGAGTCGCTTAACAGAACCGCTATTTCCTATTGTTAAAGCTAAAACATTAAACTTAATTCACAGGAATTTCCTTAAAATGTCATGTAGAACTTTCATGTACTCAGATCATCACATAACAGAGAAGGTAAGGTAAGAAACTTCCTAAATTAATACTATCCGATGAATTCATTTTTTTAGTTCAAAAAAGTAATCTGATTTTTATGAATTAAATTTATGACCAAGTAAAATGTAAAATAGCATTCTTATTTTATTTAAATATACATGTATAGATAGATAGACATTCATAGGATTCTTCCCCCAAAAAAGCGAGATTTCAATAAGATTTAAAACTATCTCCGAAAACTAGGCACGATTGTATTCGAGTGGTTTTAAGCCCGAAGTTAAATTTTCCGGCAGATGAAGATAAATGTCAGATTTAGTTCGCATAAAAAAGTAATCCACTATCATAACCACTCTAGAACAAGTCACGTTAAATCGAAACTGACAGCAAAATTTCTCTTCTCCACAGTATGGGCCTCGGGCAACTACTGAGATTTTTCCAATTCTTGGGAGAATGACTTTTAGTTAAAAGCTGACCACGCAGTAAAAGTAAACTTAGATTTTCCAATGGGAAAATTTTTTTTTAAAAAGTTACGACTCGGGGTCTTTCTGGAAAAAAAAAAACATTAAAAAAATACTGCTGTAAGCAATTTTCAAAGCTTTTTTTTAAATAAAAATAATAATATATTGAAGTTAGATTCTTTCTTTAAATTACGAAAAATTCAGTTTTTATTTATATTTACTTCTAAATGCAAATAGTCGGAACTCACTTTAAAAGTAAATATCCCGTATATGACAAGGTAATAAAACTCACATATCAATAAGAATTTATATTATCAGCGTATGTCTCAAAGAAATTTTAATTACACTAACAGTTACGCGATTAATCATCGTTAGATTTAAAACCAAACAGCGCATACAACTTAAATTTATATTAAAAAATGACAACAAAATTAAATCATCTACATTGAATTTACAAGATCTGATAACATCTGCCAAAATTAACATACCTTTTAAAGCACAAATTAAGAATAAATGTTAGAAGAAAATACATAACAAAATATAAAAATTTTAAATTTAATTTTGAAGTATAAGACCTCATACTATCTATATTATCATATTTGTCAGAGCTCGAATTAAAACAAAGTGCGTAAAAAATTTAAATTAACTAAACAAAAATTGAAATATTTCTATTGCATTAAGTTTATCATATCTAAATTACTGTATTCATTAGAATTTATACTAGGACAAATGCCTCATCAACAGGTGAAACTTACGGAGTCTGAAAGCTGGCAGAAAACAACAATGAAGGGTTAACCGAGTGTGAACAACACGCGTCCTAAAACCAGAACACACTTTAGAAAACTTCCGCTGTATTTCTCAGCTGATGTTATGCTTACGAGGTGTAGTGTGAACATGCTCGATATTCTAGTAAATTTTATTATTAAGATTAAAGTCCCGATAGCATTCATAACATTTTTCCGAGCAAAACTTAAATTACGCTGAAAATATTAAAAACAATCAATAAATAAAATGAATTGAGTTGTTACTTTTTGAGTGCAATTAAAATTTTTATTAAAGTTTTCACCCTATATTAAGCATTCATAACATTTTTCCGAGCTAAACTTAAATTGCACTGAAAATATTAAAAACAATCAATAAATAAAATGAATTGAGTTGTTACTTTTTGAGTGCAATTAAAATGTTTATTCCTATATTAAGCATTCATAAAATTTTTCCGAGCGAAACTTAAATTGCACTGAAAATATTAGAAACAATCAATAAATAAAATGAATTGAGTTGATACCTTTCGTGTGTAATCGCTTATTCTGGCTATTTATTTATTGCAAGATCGAATTATGTATTTACGAAATTATTTTTGTTCTGCTTGATATTAATAATATTGAAAAAGTCAGATAAACAACACCCAGATATCGGGCAGCATTACGGCAGTCACTGTATTTTCATTTTTGTTTGGTTGGCATGTAAAGGTTGGCAGACTAATCCTTTTTAAAACTCATTTGCAATATTAGTATGTAAAGCCTGTTTCCTTAAAGATTTAATAAAGGGATCGTATCACTTCCATTTCAGAAACTTTTACAGAAAAAAAAAATCGCATTTTGTTTAACGGTACTGTAAACCTTTTTTTTTTCTTCCTCTTTTCATTCTACCGTTATGCAGACTCTCAAATGCAACATTTTGTTTGCGTTGAAAACTCAATGATCAGGTCAATCTTCACTCTTAAAGTGTTAAAGAAAGTATGTAGAGATCTGCGCAAAAAAAACCATTTTTTCAGTGAATAAAATCTAAATCCGGCCATAAAATCTAAAATAAACGTTGAGAAGTTGAATTTATCTTCAGTTTGAGAAAGTTTTTTATTCTTGATTTGTGAATGATGATTCATTTTCAATTTTAGAGGGCTTTTCTAATCTAGTATTGCAAAGATAGATTTAATCTCGATTTAAGAGGTTTGCTTATACAATCAATTTGCTCAATCGCTTAAACTAGCATGGTTAAATTTAACATTGTTCCAAGCTTGCACTTATAAACCTTAATGGGCTTGGTGTGAGAAATCGATTACGACTGCTGCAGACATTAAAAATCAACCTTATACTGCTGAGATATTTTGTAAAGGAATAATTTCAACTCTTGAAAATCTTAACGATGACGTAAACTCTAGGTTAAAATTAATCGGAAATGGTTACCCAGAAACCTTCTTATTTTTTTTCGCTTCGGACGTGTCCCGATTTAAGATTATTTTGTTAACAATCCAGAGCAGCCATTTCGTGGTTTTCTTCTCAAAAAAACGTACACAATTTTCATAGAAAATATCAAACATTTTCATTGTATGTCATCAATAACTCAAACGAACTCCATGTTAAATATTCCGAACTCCGTTGTTGAATGATAAATCAATCACATGCATAAAAGCTCAATTCAAGTTGCGACAATTAAATACCAACAAAAAAGTGAACTTCTTTAACAAAAAAAAATAAGCTAAAGATTAAAGGGATAATCAAGGATTTCATCTTACTGAGAATGGATGGTTAAAGTAAGCAGAAAAACAGCTAGAAAATGATGGAACTTCTTATGCTCTAAGGAAGAAAAAAGAAGAAAAAGAAAGAAAAAGTCGGGCATCTAAGTCTTCTCTGGCGAAAAATCGATTTTTCGTCCTGCTTACTACAGAAAAAAAAATCCCCCCCCCCTCGTCATTCTTACACTGGGAGCGATGCCAAGTGTCATTCTAATAATATTCTTTTATGCTTTCAGTCGGTCTTGCAGCAACTAAAGAAAAGAAACAAGTAGTAGCTGGAAATCGCAGGAAAAATAACTTACAGAAAACTGAGAGTAACAAGACTTGCGGAAAAATTACTTTACTAAGAATGCATTATTATTGAGAACGGTAAAGAAAAGAAAAATGTTAAGACAACACTATGCCTTTAGATAAAAACTAAACAAATCTAGATACGGATATAGTGGACAACCAACCATAAAGATGTTTTAAACATTAACTTCGTATTTTGAACAATTTTTTAGAAAATGATATGGAAATTAAAAATCATTTTTAGTGTTTTTTCTGATTGATGTCATGTTGTTAATTGTTATCTTCATGACAAATTTAATTTCGATAAAATTCGAAAGCTAAACTACAGGTAAAGGGAACTATTTTCAAAATTCTTAATTGAATATTTACAGAAAATTTCAATGGCACAATTTATACTTTTGGTTTATGAGGGAGTGGAAGTCAGATTCTACTATGATTCGAATAAAGAGGCACATAAAAGTAGTAATGTGCCTATTAAATCTGCGCTGTCTGGATTTTCTTCCTGTTGGTGTTCAGAGAGGAGCAAATCAGACACCGACCATGTAATGTAAATGGGATCAAAATACGGCTTTTCCGCCATGAGTGTTAAAACACAGGCTTGTTAAAAAGGATTAAATGCATTGAGATACATGTTATTGAGAAAGAAAAAATTCTTTTGAGTACTGTACTGTCTAAATTTGGGTAGCCAATCAAGAGAAATCACCTTACGCATTTAAAGACAATCAATCCACTGTTCCACCAGGCTGAATAAAGTCGTGCGGTAAAACTTCTCTTTCTTTTCTTGCTACTTGAATAAGTCCAAAACTATCTGCTGCACTTCTGCGTAGGACAGAAATCGTCAATTTTCTTTCAAAGATCGATGATGCAAAAATCGTATGGGGAAAAACCAGGACTGCTGAGTCAGTATTCACGTGAGGAATATGAATCAATTTCAAAACGAGTGAAATAAAAATATAAACAATACCTGAATCTANTCAGTATAATGCGTATCTATATCTGTTATATTAAAGATTTTTTTTCCTTGAAATATGATGATTGCTTTGTGTTTTTAATCTTGTTCATATGTGCCCCAGGCATGTTCACATGTGCCCCCAATGGGGGCACATTTGAACAATTGAAGTCATTTTTCTAAAATATTATAAAGTAAAGAAATATTTTATTGAAAAATCTCAAAAAATTCCATAAGACAAAGAAAAGACTATTTAAACATATGGACTTCTTTACTATGAAAAATTTATGATATTTTTTGAAAGATGAAGAAATAAAAAAATTTGTTCACATGTACCCCCCTCTCCCCTACATGTTATTGAGAAAAAAATTCCTTTTGAGCACTGTACTGTCTAAATTTGGGTAGCCAATCAAGAGAAATCACCTGGCGCATTTAAAGACAATCAACCCACTGTTCCACCACGTTGAATAAAGTCGTGCGGTAAAACTTCTCTTTCTTTTCTTGCTACTTGAATAAGTCCAAAACTATCTGCTGCACTTCTGCGTAGAACAGAAATCGTCAATTTTCTTTCAAAGATCGATGATGTAAAAATCGTATGAGGAAAAACCAGGACTGCTAAGTCAGTATTCACGTGAGGAATATGAATCAATTTCAAAACGAGTGAAATAAAAATATAAACAATACCAGAATCTAAATCAACATACAAAATTCGAAAGGTGAAATTTATCGAAGTTCAGTCAGACTTTTATATATATATATATATATATTTGAAAAATTCCTCAATTCAACTCAAACAATAGAATGCGATATTACCAAAATTGTTCCATTATTCATTCGATACACAAAACAAATAATATAATCTTCAGAGCTTCACTGATCAAAGTGCTGCTCAATCTGATGAAAAGGCAATAAGGAAATATAAACAATTAGCTGAAATAAGTTCCTAAATGTCCTACAAATTTGTACGTTCTATTTGATAATGTTTTCCTTTCTGTATACTCATGCAGGATTCAAGAGATTTAGTGCTCGCCAGTAAACATATATCCCTGCCTATTGTCACTGAATCACATTACGTGAATGAACTATTTACAATGGAAACCAGGATATAATAGAAAGCGAGTCCGACATTTTAATTACCTATTGCGATCCCCCAACGTAGATATGCGCTTTAATTATAGCTTCCACCAACATCCAAAATCAAATGAGGTAATAGTATTATATGCATAAAGGCACTTGTATGAGCTTTCTATTGTTGTAAATCCTAGCATTTCCTGGAATTTTGGGTGCGCCTGCAATTTGGAAGCGAATTGTTCACTATTATGCAAGAAAACTTAGATGAAATATTGCATATATATCTTGATTAAGGTAGAATATGAATTGGTGGTTTAAAATTCAAAATTTCTCATAGTTTAAAATAAATGGCAATATTATTTCTCACAAACTTGGCTCAGTTAGATAATCTGCGGGGATTTCGTTTCCGCCGTGGTCGCTATTAGACGCCGAGTGTGTGATGGAGTAGTAATAGCGTGAGGAGGACAGTAACGCAGTCACAAATAACAAGTTAACTGTTCGATGTGGATCATCCATCGAAATAGGCGTGTTCTAATCGAAGTGGACGTAAATGCAGAGGTATGGGAGTTCTTAGGTTCTTATCATATCCGTAGACTACCAATATGGGGCTAACCGGTATCTATCGATTGTAGTTGTAGCTTATTTACGTCGCACTAGAGCTGCACAATGGGCTATTCGCGACGTTTTGGGAAACATCCCCGAGGATGATCCGAAGACAAGCCATCACAATTTTGATCCTCTGCAGAGGGGACCGGGATCTATCGAAAGGTACCCCAAGATTGTATCAAGTTAACATGACTTATATATAATTGAATTAGTATTTAATAATTGTAGTGGTAGTTACGCCATAAGTCTAGGATCTGTGTAACAAATTAAACGGAAATGCTTATGGTTGTTTTAAGAAAGCACTGTTATCTTATATACAACGCTTTTCAGAGCACAAATATGTTAATTTGATTACCGGTGAAAATAGCGGTCGTTCGTAACTGTAAAGTTTTACCTACCTTTAGCCAACACTATCAATGAAAATGACGTTAAATGTCAAAATAGGGAAAAGTCACAGTTTCGTGAAAATGAAAAGCATTTGTTAACTACATTACTTATTTTAACGCTGCATTGTATGTGATCATAAAAATAAGCAAAATTTGGAAATTGTTAAGTAATTTTAATGAGTTTAACATGGGTAAGAAAAAGCTCGCCAAATTGGCGATTTTTTTAAAAAAGATTCAATATATTTAAAAAAAAAATTTCGCTCCGAATTTCTCAGAAATATTTATCGAGTCTAAAAGCTTTTCATGGAACAAGATTAAAACTTCTTGAAATAAAATAGGCGGTGGGTATAAGACAGGGGAGTGAGGCAAACATAAAATTTCTGTGGCTTAAAAAAATTCGTAATTCAAAATTCTTAACGCCACTAACACGTCCAGAATAAGGAAGGGTGGGGAGTGGGGCAAACATACCATTACATAAAATGTAAAAATTATGCAATTCTTAACACCGACAAATAATACGCCTCAAATAATTATAAAACAATTAGCGAAATAGAAAAAAAAGTATTAAGAAGAAAAAACAAGATTATCAAAATCGGCCAACTCTCTGAACAACAAGTGATGATAAATTTCAATGACAAATAGCGCCTGAAAAACGTAACACACACAAAAAATTTACTTCAAAATTTTCATCCTCGGGATTGAAAATATGCCAGGAAGAATGTAATTAAGAAAATAAAATTAGATAGTTTTTGTTAGTGGTATTTTACTAATGAACATTACAGTAAGATTGCACATGCAGAGTTCATGAATTATACTTTTAATTTGTACTCACCTTTGTCATCAATTGAAAAGAATCCCATTCCATCCCCATCCAATATGGAATAAGTAAACTGATTATTCAGTCCAGGAGGATCTGCATCAATTGCAGAAACTGTAAGCACCAATGTACCTTTAGGTTGGTTTTCCATAACCTGACCAACAACTACAACATCTTCAAATGTGGGTGGGAACATATTTTCATTAACATCTTCCACTTCTACAACAAGAGAGGCTTGAGACTCCAAAGAGGGGTCACCGCCATCTCTAGCAGTTATAGTAACATTGTATAGTTGAATCGTTTCAAAATCAAGAGCTTTCGATAAACGAATAACGCCCATCAAAGGATCAATCGTGAAGGTATCATCACCAGACAATGAATATGTTATTTCACCACCTTCGTCCAAATCTGGATCACTGGCAACCATGACGATAACCACAACACCCAGAGGCAAATCTTCGCGCACTTTCACCCAGTACTGCTTCAGACTGAAATAGGGCGCATTGTCGTTGATATCCAAAACTCGAATATTTACCACTGCTGTGGAAGAAAGTGGGTTATCTAGTGACCCGTCAACCACTCTCGTTCTTAATTGATAGGCTTCGGTTTTTTCACGGTCCAGACTACCAAACACTGTAAGTAAACCGGTCATTTCGTCGATATGAAACTCGTCGACATCTGTTTCCAAATGAAATCTCAATTCTGCATTTAAACCTTCGTCTTTGTCGTTGGCGCGTAATCTCACAATACTAGTGCCATTTTTAGCATTTTCGGTAATAACGAAATTGTAAGAGCTTTTCTCAAAGATGGGCTTGTTATCGTTAATGTCATCAACGTGGATTAAAAGCGTCCTAGAAGCACTCCTTTGGGGATTACCCAAGTCATAAGCAGATATGTTTAAATTGTACTCGGAAATAAACTCCCTATCTAATGGTGCGTCTACAAATAGTTTACCCGTTTGTAAATCTATTTTAAAGAAGTTAAATTCGTCACCGGAGGTGATTACATAGACTAAAAGACCGCTATAGCCTCTATCTTTGTCTTTTGCTTTTAATGAAGTAACTTCGGAGTCCACCGGAAGGCTTTCGTTTATCCAGACTTCTGTAGGCAGTCCCAAAGGGAATTCAGGGGGATATCTATTTCCTGAAAAGCTTGTAGGGGTGGGTTCTGTAACGTCATTGTTCCTGTTGTTAGCTTTGGCAAGATTCAGCTGTTTCTTATATTTGTCTGTAACTCCCACATCTCGGCATTCCATTAATGCCCCTCTGTCTGCTAGTCTTTGATTATTACCACTGCTAATTATTTTTAATTGTATGGACATTACGTCAGCGAAATGAGTGCCATCAGTCGCTGAAACGTTAATTATTCTTTCTCTAATATTCATTTTGGTTAGATCGCAAGTTATCCTCAAGACACCTGACATTGCTTCCAATCTGAAACAAGGATCGTCATTTGATGGTACCATGCGGTATTTAACTGTACTTCCGTAATCGAAATCAATAGCCGAAAGAGTAATGACTTCGGTGCCAATAGGAGCAGATTGAGAAACATATCCTTTGCACCCAACTTTCTCAAACAAAGGTCGATGATCATTGACATCTTTTAAACGAACTTTAAGAGTCATTTCCGCTTGACGCCGGTAGGGTGCACCCCAGTCGGAAGCTCGAACCTTTAAAACGTATTCGCGTCTCATTGTTTCGTAATCAAGGATTTCTGTAGCTCGAATCTCCCCTGTAAATGGATCCATAGTAAAGGGCACTGGATTTATATTAGCTAAACTATAAGTGATGTAACCATTATCCCCTTCGTCTCTATCACTTGCAAATGCGGTATACACAATACTTCCAGATGGTTTATTTTCGTCGAAAACAACAGAATCCATGGTATTATTGAAAACAGGATCATTATCGTTGTTATCCAAAACTCGGATATTAACGATAGCTGTTGATTTTTTCTTCTGACCTCTTGATGATGGATCGAAGGCACTAACTGTCAACGAATAATAAGGTTTCGTTTCCTTGTCTAAAAACGTAGCCAGTGTCAACAAACCCGACTTCATATGAATTGTGAAAGTTCCATTCGTGTTGCCACTCTCGATTCTGTAAACGATAGGTTTATGTTCAGGAGCAGTGGCTTTCATGTGTAGGATTCTTGACCCAGGAGGTGAAATCTCTTCAACTTCTATATCATAATCTGCTTGTTCAAATACTGGATTAGTATCAGCCGTTTCTGCCAGTCTAACGTTGACTACCTGAGTTGTAGTTCGCGGAGGAGTACCTCTGTCTTTGGCACGAAGTGTTATTGTGTAATCCTCAGAAATGCTGTTATCTCTCAAGGATGGGTGAACTAACTCAATATTATATTCATTTTGTTTGTTTCCAGGTGTAACTTGAAACATACCGGAAGGATCGCCATCAATTATTTCCAGAGCATCAAGTTCTCCATGGATACCGAGATCTTTATCAATGACTCTAACAACAGCATAGATGTTGGGATCAGATGGGGATAGTAAGGCCGAAAATTGACGAACGAATATCTCAGGTGGATACAGGTTAACAGGCGTGACTTTAACGGTTACAGTTGTTGAACGAGACGTGTAGTCAAGAGCTCTAAATTTAATCCCTCGGTCTCTGGCAAGAATCGTAAGAGTATGAAGAGGTTGCTTTTGATAGTCAAGGTGCCGTGTTAACGTTAGAATACCACGAGTTGGATGCACAGCAAATTGTAAGCTAGGTTCAGCCAGATTATAATAAATTTCCCCATTGATGCCTAAATCAGGATCATGAGCACTTATCTGAAGTATACTGGTGTGCAAAGGTTTGTCTTCGGCAACGCTTACATCATAAGAAGGTGGATAAAACGATGGTGGGATGTCATTTGTATCAGTAACATGAACAATGACTTCCGTTTGAGCCTTTAACTTAAGAGCTCGTTTCAGATCGGACGTGACGGTGGCCCGAACGATCAAACGATACGTATCTTGATACTCTCGATTCAAAACAGCTCGATTGCCAGTACGAACTCGAATCATAAGAAACCAAAAATCGCCAACAAGCCTAGTTTCTGCCTTGAAAAACCGATCGGGGTCACCGGAAACTATCTTATATCGTATTTGGAGCGTCGGGTCAGAAACAAATATTCCCATCTTCTCTTTAGAGATGGCCTGCGTCTTTGGAATCGAGTTTTCCGGAATCGTGACATTGTACTGCTCTCGGGTAAATTCTGGCTCTTCCTCCTCTGTTGTGGCAATTGTTTGGAATGTGAAACAGAGAAAAACCAGGGTTGAGACCCAGCGGAGCTGATGACACGAAGCCATTCAGTCACGTTCGGTCAAGACTGCATGCCTGAAAATAAAAACGAAAGGTAAATTTAAAATAATGATAACAATTGATGAATAAATGTCAATTCAAATCAAGTGTACTAATATAAACTCAAATAATAGTTGTACGATTACTAATGAGTTTATTTTTCTTTTGTTGAGTCATGCATTTTAATTGACAATAAATGACCACGTAAAAGACGAACCGCAGGAAGTGAGTAAAAAATCATCACTTCCTTACAGCGATGCAGCCTTACTATGCTCTCAATAAACTGTTTCACTAGAAGAACAAATAACGGTAGAGGGAACATTTTATAAAAGCATGACCATTTTAAAATAATCTCTATTGGTAAATCGTACAAATTATTTAAAAGTTAGGTAATCGAGAAAAGATCGAAAAGTTGTTATTCGTATCAAAAACTTCTATTTTAGCTAAAGACAAATTACAGGAATTTAAAGCCACATAGATTTTGTTTATTTTTAGCAGTGTTAGACAGCGGAAAAAATCACTTTTTATACATTTTTTTCACGAAATTGTGTATTTTGAAGCCTACATTAAGAAGTTTTTTAATTATTTCAAATAGGCTCTATCAAAACATCAAGTATTAATGGAATGCAAAAAGTGCAGACCCATTTCTTAATTTTCATTAAAATAAGTTGTTATTGAAGTTGAACTTGTGTCTTTAACTGCAACGTATATTAATTTGAATCATTTTTGAAGACTTTAGAGTCATTATAGGGCTTTTGATTAATATTTAGTGCAACGAAATTAGCGAGATGTTAAGAAAAATTGCTGGACGCATTTGCAAAACAGATTAAATAAATTTATCTATAAACTTATTTCACATACAAAATTACTATCAACTAAGAATATTTACTGTTGCAGGGATGAAAAAAATATCTCAATATTTCCTTAAAAGAGTGTGCAAATTAAAGCAAAATTGTTGTTATAACTCCTTTAAAAACTGTTTTATTCAATCAAAACATTATTCCAAATTGCAAACATCGTTTCTTTAGATGAATTTTAAGTATAATTAAAAAAGAAAAAATCTTTTTTAATGCTAATATCAGACACATCACCGTCTAATCAAATCTTAAATATAAATTAAAATGTCAACAATCACGCGAGAAGAAAAAAAAGCAAGAGTGAAAAGTTCAATCGATATTCTCCAACTTGCCAACGAAATCCTGAAAACCACATTTTTCGTAATCCCTTCTAATGATACAAAATAATTAACTTTTGAAGCATCCTCACGGTGTCGCATGCAGATCGTTGTCAATATTTTCATGTCACACTGAATGGGGACAACAGCTGGTAATTAAGTTTGCGGAAATGATGGATGGGGGACAAAGTTGAGGATTATGAAAAGAGCAGCCTTTTCCCTGGGAAAACCCCCAGCAAGATATCAGCAGGAGGACACAAAACAAATTTTCAGAATCATTGCCTTTTGGCATACTCTATTTTTGTCATCAGTTCTTGAATTCTGTCGTTTTTGACTTTGAATTAATATCTTGATTAAGTTTCCTTATTTTCCAACTTGCATTTTTACCGATGCTAATACAAATTATTCATAAACTACACGTTTTATTTAATGATATCTTTAATTTATCATGACTTGTGTTACTCATGCTATGTATTCATGGCTGTAATACGATGTTACATGTTGGTGTCATTATACCCGTTGACGAAATACATACATGTTGATGTAAAAAGTACACGTTGGCGTAATACCTAAGCGTTAATGTAAAACACACACGTTCAAGTAATAATAACAGGGGCCTGTCTAGGTTTTTCTGACAGGTACCTGTTTTGCAAAAATTCGGACATAATTTTTGAAAAATTAAAAATTATATTAAAAAATCAACACAAAAATATGGATTTATCGTTTCTTACAGGATACAAAAATAAAATTTTAAGAAAAAGTATTTTGTGAAACTACCGTTCTTCATAAAGTTGAATTTGTGAAGGTACCGCTAAACGGTAGTAAATTTGGCCAGGAAACCATTGAATAAACGCATACATGTTGATGTAAAATGCCCACGTTGACTTAATTCGTAAATGTTAATGTAAAACGTAATCATCAATTTAATTCGTAAACGTAATCAGAAAAAAAATAAGGTTAAAATAACCGGAATAAGGTAAGATATACAGTATTTCCGGCTCTAGGGGCTCGTAATCTTTACCGAGAGCTTACCAAGAAGCTCAGTAGTTTTTACTGAAACGATTTGGTAATGATTTTGGTAAAATTAAATATAAAAATTGGCTTTATAATATGGAATAAAATTTGGCAACTGTGTTTAAATTTGGTAATTTATGAAAACTTAGGGCATGTCATAAAAACCATTTATTCCGTTAAATTTACTTTTCAGTTTCGTATTTTTTAATAAACGTGTGATAATAAGAACTAAAAAACAGAATGTTCGATTAAACCACGATCATATGAACGAAGAAAATTACCAAATGAATGTTTTAAATACAGTGTATTTTGGTTATATTGACCAGAATTATGCTTGATTTTTTTTTTTTGCAAGAAATTTCATTGCCATACTGTACGATAATTTTACCAGATTTTTTATCCGTGCATTAATATAATACACGTTAATGTTAAACATACCTTATAATTATTTGGCCGTTGATAAGTTAAGCGCGAAAAATAGTCAATACAATTAACTAGGTGGATCTTACCAATAACCAATACTATTGCATTTGAATTCATTTTCAATTAGCACGTTACTTTGTAAAATCAATACAATTTCCACATGTTCTTTAAACTTACTCAGATTAAACCTTTAACTCCAACAATGTAAGCGTTAATTATTATTTAGTTGAATCATGGATTGTTAATTTTATTTATTAATTTAAAAAGTTATTGATTAATAAAAAGCTAAAAAAAAAAACTATATGTTTAATAAATACTCTTTCTCCGTTTCTATTCAATTTAATTTGCTTAGAAAAGTGAGAAATTTTCATTTTCCTCATAAAAAATGATTATACTTAACAATGCAATTGCCACCTTTTCTGCTTTAAAAATAAGCTTCTTTTCATATTTTTCTTTAACGGCAAAATGTAAATTTCTCCTAAACACGCCCCTTCGTATTTTTATACGTAATCCCCTTCCTCATTTTATTCTCTCATCTTCCCCCTTTTTTTTTCTATTCTTTACTTGTCTTCACTAGGTAAAAAAGATACATTTTTCAGAAAAGAAAAAATAATTTTTTCACGGGAAAGAAAAAAGAAATTTCTGTAAACATTTCACCCAACTAATAAAAGTTATAATTCTTTTACCCATTTAAATGACAAAATCTACAAAAAAATATTAGAACTTTCAAAAAATGACCATTTTTAAAAGCTTAAAAATCATGTTTTGAGAAGGAAAGAAAAATCTTTCCCTCAGATCTTGATCTAAATCTTACCTATTTAAACAAAATCAAGACATCAGAAGCGTATATCTAGCAAATAAATGGTGGGAACACGACGGAGTAATGTCCGGAGAATATGCGAAATGTGGTAGAATTTTACAGCCAAACTTATGAACAAATGAAGTTTGTTTTGCATAGATGTGGAACTTAATTGCTCTACGTATTTTGTCAGTATTTAATAACGATTATTATTATAATTATTTTGAAAAATGAACAGTGTTTACAGGAATATTAGTTTTAAGCTATGCAATCTTCGAGAAACAAAGATTAAAAGTTGGCGAAAAATTATTTTTATTTATTACAAGAAACTTAGATTGTTTACTAAGTGACACCACCAATACATAAAAATATGAACTTGAATCTCGAGGCGAAAACGAATATAGAAAAAACTATTACGACTAAAACGTAGCGTTTACCGATAAGTCCGACTAAAAGAAAAACACAAATATGAAAAATGCATTCAAAATCGGAAGAAATGGGAAAAAAGAACAAACAAAAAAATTTAAAAATAAAAAGTATAAAAAANAATGAAGTTTGTTTTGCATAGATGTGGAACTTAATTGCTCTACGTATTTTGTCAGTATTTAATAACGATTATTATTATAATTATTTTGAAAAATGAACAGTGTTTACTGGAATATTAGTTTTAAGTTATGGAATCTTCGAGAAACGGAGATTCAAAGTTGATGAAAAAATATTTTATTTATTACAAGAAACTTAGATTGTTACGAAGTCATCACCATCACATAAAAATATGAGCTTGAATCTCGAGGGGAAAACAAATATAGAAAAAACGATGACGACTAAAACGTAGCCTTTACCGATTAGTCCGACTAAAAGAAAGAACACAAATAAGAAAAATGCATTCAAAAAGAAGAAATGGGAAAAAAGAACAAAAAAAAATTTATAAATAAAAAGTATAAAAAATAGGCAGAAAAATTTCTTTAAGGATTTTTCTGGGGGAGGGGGGGGGAGCGTGACGACTACCAGTATAAGAAGAAAAAAAAAGGCTACACATTATTTCCAAGCAGAAATAATCATGAAAAAGCCCCCCCCCCCAAAAAAAAATGATGCACATACGAGATAAAAAGGGAGGGAACATCTTCTGTCATATGCATGATTTCAATTCGATGGCCCGTGGAGCATTAAATCGTCCAAAATGAATCACGCGGCCAGCCAAACATACATACACATTTTGACTTTACGAACGGAGGGTTGAAATGGCACAAGTCACCAATAGTACTTTTTTTTTTCTATTTTATTTCAAGAGGGATAAAATAATGGAATTGAAGCTCATTCGATTTGTTGGAAAGCAATAGGCAGTCACGAGGAGTAGGACACTTACAAGAATATATTGATTTCGAAGGAGCAGGGCACTAGGGGAAATTGACCTCGATTTCGAGATTCCAGTTACCATCTCCCGCAAACGTCTGCATGCTCTTATATGATGGTAATAGCAATATATCTCTTTGATCTTCCTACATCACTAATTTCATATTGTATCAAAACGAATGCAATACCAGAAGGGAAAAAAAAGATTAAAAGAAAATACAGTTCACAGATTATGAGTAGTAATGAAATGAATGTTATGTGTATCATTTAATC